GCTTGCGGGGTCAGGTGTATCCTGCGATAACATAAAAGCTAGAGCATTTACTTACACTACTGAACATGTAGATATCAACAAAATTGTTCTCATGTTAGATTTTCACGTGTAGTGGTAGGCCTGAGAATGTCACGCCATAGCACGAGTCTGCCGTCGCGAGACATCGCTGCCCACTTCTAGGATTCGATAACATGGCACTGACATCAGCAAAAGCGACCAATAATCGCCGTGACACATATCCGTGATAATACTTTTGGACTTTGAAATGTGGTAATGATAGCTGGGTGCAATAGCGCCTCTAAATGTTATTGAATTGCTAAATCAGTCAGATTCTCTGATTTAGGAAGTTATGACAGGAGGCTGCAAGAAGAATACCTTACCTCAAAGAAATAGGCCTCTTATATCATCATCAAGACAAATTTTTGAGGAAAAAATATTACAGCGAACGATCTTCGTCAAAGAAGGTGATGCAGATCATTCTGACTATGTTAGAAGTATACCATAGGAGAACAGTATATTGCAAGGATTCTTATTTTTAGAACTAATCGCCAGTTTTTTCCATGTACTATCCGTCACCTGTACCCTGCTCTTATACTGCAAAGAATCTAAGCTTTAACCTTATTTTGTCTTTTTCGAGATACTCCTGCCTTTTTAGTTGGCGAACTCTCATTCATTAAAAAAAATTAATCTCAAACTCTGATTCGAAAAACTACTTGATTTTACTCCTGATCAACTTTCAATAAATCTTGGCATAGTTATGTACTTGTCTGAGCGTTGGCCGTTACTCAAGAATGGTATAACGGTTTATTAGGCTTCTTCGGCTTGTTTGCCTTCGTCGGAGCCTAAAAAGTGCAGAACTGAGATGTACCCTCTCAAACGATTTCATGCTCAGGAAAACTCATCAAGTTGAACAAGTGTTGACTTAGACGCCTTTGAAAGACAGCTTATGATGTTGAGGAAACTGACCAGGACCACCGAGGCACACTCAGTGAATGAAGAGTTGTGCCCTGGAGAGGTTTATATGCAGGAGATGTAGGTCAAAACCCGCATAAATCCAGGAACGGCGCGAGTTCTTTTGTTTTCTTATTCATCTCTGGATTCCTTGCAGAAATCCAACAAACTTTTAGCGTCTTGCCACCATCACAGATTCTCGCAATAGAACTGAGCCGAGATCTCAAACTTACTGCTTTGATGGCAGCCCTACAATGAGTGCCCAGGAGCACACGTGTATGCTTTCCGCAAACAGTCTAGATGTTTCCTTGTATACGCAGCTAATGCGGTATTTTCTGACGGTATGTGAAGCTGAAACCAAGTCAAGAGGGTCTCAACATAGCGGCTGCTATGGATTACAAACTCATGAAGGATGAGTAGAAACAAGCTGCTTGGTGATGGTAGTTTTAACAAGGTGCCATTCTCTTTGTCCTTTATTTTAGATAAGTCAAACAGCGAGATCAGGGCGTGCGTGAACGAATGCGGTCTTTAACACTGTTCGGGAGTTTTGGAGATTCCTCTTGCAAACCTCAGACAACGCTTA